ACAAAATTACATGTTAATTGACCATGGTATACCATGGTATATCATGATCGTTAAATGGCACCATTGCATTTCATGGTCAGGAGCATTTTTTTAACATGGAGTTTCCCATTGAAAAAATACTGCCGTTTCACAGTATTTCATGGTCAGAAACCATCAAATGCAATGATATCATGGTCAAGAAACCATCAAATGCAATGATATCATGGCCGAGAACTTGACCATGATATCATTGCATTTGATGGTTTCTGACCATGAAATACTGCGAAACGGCAGTATTTTTTCAATGGAAAACTCCATGTTAAAAACGCACTGTTAACAATGAAATGCAATGGTGCCATTTAACGTTCATGATCGGCCATGGTATTACCATGGTATTTCATTGCATTTCATGGCCATATACCATGGTATACCATGGTCATACCATGGTATACCATGGTATGGCCATGGTCCATTTCAACATGGTAGTATTAAATATTTTCTATGGATATACAGTACTGCCTCATTTATAAAATCAATGTCTGAAGAGTTGTTTTTGGAGAGGTCCTTTTATAAGCTACAGCAGGTTTAACTTACTTCAAATCCCCAGATTTTGATAAACTAACTTAAATATCTTTGCCAATGCGATAAATCATCCTGATCCAGATTAACATCAGAATTTGATCTAAGTCAGACAGCTCTTGATTTATAGACTCTGGTGCCAAAGGTTGATAAATATACCAACGGAATGGATTAATTGATATGAGTCTGATAATAATTCAAATTAGCAATTTTTAGCAGTTTTTGGCCATTTTTTTAGGCTAAGTTGTGATGTGATGGAAGAATATCATATTTTCAAGTTTTGTCAAAGGGGAGAAAAAATTTCAATAAAGCTATGTTAAAATTATAAATTGACCAATCTGTTTTATCTCAAAGTGATGGAGTATAATGCTAAAATTGGGAAACTAAAAAATAAGGATTTTTATGCTAAGACCGAGAAGTGTTGGTATATCACCTCAAAAACTTAAGGGTATTTTTACAAATATCACTCATATTTTCAAAAACAAAAGCTTTGAGAAATTCAAAATTTTGAAAATCATTTTTGGACCACTTTAGTACTTAATTTTTCAGCTGATAAAGAGGGACGGATTGAATTAGGCTAATTTGCTTCAAGAGAAAATAATATTTTGGCTCACATTGTTTTCTCACCACTCCGAATAGTGGCATTTTATCTACACATAAGACTGTCCAGAATCTTTGCTAAACTGGTTTCACAAATACATGATGAAAGAATAATCTAAAATATCTAATATAAAATATCCCAGAATTTATGATTTTGTAAATTCTTAACTTTGAAACTTCTGAATGTCTTTAGAAACAGTCCAAAAGAGGTATAAATATACATGGTGGTTGACCTTTTGTGTCTCTTTAAGAAAAATGAAACCACTCATAGATTTGTGGCACTTTCATTATTCTGCATGAGGGCATCAAATGATGATGTTAAAAACAATTTAGGAAACAAGATAGTGAAGCAATCAGTTAAATAACTATGCTTAGTTTAACTACATGATTTGTCTTAAACCTTGCAAAGTTTTGCTGCACTTAATGGTTGAGTCCCATTAAGCCAGCTTCACTGATTAAACAACCTTTTTATGGTTCCAGGCAAATGGCCCTGGGCAAATGGCTGAGCAGTCTAAAGGCATGGCTACATCATACTAGGAGAAAGAAATTGTTCCGTTTTTGATCAAGTTCTTTAAGTTCTTGCCCAATTAGCCCCAAGTTAATCAAAACCAAAAATTAAAAATTTTGTTGTAGTTTGTAAAGCCCATAATGCATCTCAGCATCAGTTGCAATCTTCTGATTATCTTTAGCAGGTACATGTAAGTCTTTACCTGTCAGAAATTGTGGGAGTCTCAGGGTATCTCAATGTGGATGAGTTTTTGTGCTTGCGGGGTTTTCAGAATTTCTCACAACAGGCTATATTATGATAAAAACAGGCAAAATTAATGGAAATCCCTAAAAACAACAGGCGATTTTGTGAAAACAACCAGTTAAAATTGCCTGTTGCCTGCTGCTAAAGAAACCCCTGGCTTGGTGCAAATAAGAAATATTTTGAAATCACATCCTATTGGATACTTTTTTACAAACTGAACAAAAATGAACCTAATTGAATGATCTTTAAGAATATTGCATGTCGGCTTGCATGTTTCATGCAAGTGCATTTCAATCCATAAAGAAAAATGTAACTTTATAGAGTCACAAAAATCTAAAAAATATCAAGCTATCAATTTTTCAATCCCACTTGCAAGGTCTTAATGTGCATAGCAGCTTGTCATTGCAAGATTAATTCTAAGTGGACACGGAATTGAGAAGAAAAATATAGATTTTTATTTCCAATTCGGTAAGCTAATAGAGACTAATCACGACGAGATTGTCTGCTGTTTTTCAAGTATAAACTAATCTGCCACCTTCAGGCATGGTCCAAGGCTCTTGCGCTAAATATATGGTAGCAATATTTGAAGTATGGTGGTACTTTTAAATTATGTGAAGGATGACTGTACTTTTCTGAATGTGAAGGATGGCGCTTTGTTAAATTGTTTAAAAGGGGCCAATCTGAAAGGCTATAGACCCTTTTTAGAATAATAAGAAGAAAAGGTTGCGATTTGCAGCTTAGCAAATTGTGAATGTTATATCAAAGGATGTTGTCATATTTGAGCAATGTAGATGAAGATATCTTTTGAAAACTATTGAAAAGGTCTGCCTTAATCACTGGCAGATCCAGAAGTTATCAAGGGGGAACCCACATTTCAAATCAGCGAAAAAAATTTTGGGCCCCTTACTCCAAAAATTTGTGCCCAAAGGAGGGGGAGTTGTTTGTAGAATGAATCAGGGGAGTTTTTTCATGCATTTCACTTATGTTTTTCATAAAAAAAAAACACATCAATATACTGTAAGACATTTATTGACTATAAGATTGCACCATATAATCCCCCAAAATATTTCTCATTTTCAAGGATTAACTATGGATTAACACAGTATTTTCATTTTTCAAACTTCAGAGGACTGGAAATCATTGATCATATTCGCTTTTGAATAATATTAATGCTGTTTCAAATAGGTTTCATGTATGCCTATAATTTCCCAAATTGTATAAATGGTACACGTTCCTTAATCCCTAGAATTTTCACTTAAGGAATTTCCCATAGAAATCCAATGGTACAGTTCCAAGCAGATTTAGAGATAACAGTAAAGTAAATCTTTAATACACACCTTATTTGGTTGTTTTGGTTTATATTGCAACCCAAAAAGGGGTGTATTAAAGATTAACTTTCCTATTTTACTTGGTAGGTTTCGAATTTAGAGGCTCATTTAACATTGAGTCATTGGACCTCAGGACTTTGAAGTGTTTGACTTCCCAAGATGTTCCACTCTACAGAGGTACATGTTAAAATTACATGTGCATATTATCAAATGCTTCAAATCTGTGGAAGTTAACTTTAATGACTGTCACAATATTCTTTCAGGTATATAATGGGATGTGGATGATTTCGTCTCAGTTCTCCCTGAGTTAAAATGAGGAATTCAGCAAGTGAAACTAGTGAATTCTCCGAGGGAATAAGGCCAGTTCTATGTGAAATCTGCCCCTTCAGAGTTAGAAAATTGGGATGTGAGGAGTTGTATATGGAATATGTAAGTGACTCACAACTGGAACCTCCTCTATAAAGATGGTCTTGAGTGAGTTAATTAAAAAAATCAATATTCACATTTTGCGCAGAAAAATGGGCACCAACCATTTTCTTTTAAAATGTACAGTAATGTCAGTTAGTTATTTCATGGGCTTTCTTGAAAGCCCATGGTTATTTGTTCTGTTGCCCAGTTTATGTGGGGAGGAGACAGATTGATTTCAGCACCAATTTTTGGTATACATCACCGTTTCAAGTCTAACAATTACATACACACTTGATATATTCACCATTTCTAGCAATACAATAATACAGACATATATACATTCACCATTTCTAGCCACATAATAATACAGACATATATATATATATACATTTACCATTTCTAGCCACATAATTACATACAGACTTAGATACATTTACCATTTCTAGCCACACAAATACATGCAGACATTTACTATCCCTTGTCACACAATATACATTCACCATCATTTACCAGCCATATATACATTCACCATAGCCACATAATTGCATACATAACTATATACTTTCACCATACAATTAACAGTAAGTATATATTTTTCCATTTGTAGCCACATAATTACATTATATACTGTAGTTGTCTGCTTTGTTTAACTGAAATTAAACCATTGGATCAATCAGCAAAAAATGCATGAGACAACGATGCATGAATTATTCATCCCTCAACTGAATTACTGCAGAATTGTGCTCTGCATTGAACTGATTTTTCTTCTGATTGATAAACCTATTAGAACATCATCGGTGGCTGAAATATGACTCGGAAGCAGGAGTAACAGGTTGGTCACGATCTTTTTAATCGCGGAAGGAAGTGTAATTAGCGAGAAATAATGCAATAAACTTCAATAAAATAGATATGCAAGAAATTCATGTTGTGACAGTTATCTAATTTATTAGTGTCACAATATCATAATAAAAGATTTGCCAATGGGAATTTCTTTGATAGGGATGTCACAAAAAATCTCCAGCTTAGCATATAGTTAAGGCTATTGAAGGCTAGCCAGGCGTTACAGGATATTTTAATATAAGTGCTTTTGAGTGGTAAGGAAACTGTGAAGTGATATTACACCATGGAAACATCCATGTACTGTAACAGGATAGTAAGCAATTTGGCTTTTTGTACAATGAATAAGAGGAAACATGGCATATACTAATATATGAATAGACTGTAAATCAGGTTGATAGTATAATATAGGAAATCTAAAAATGGATTATTATTATAATACAAGTACATAAATTCTAGCCTGGTTTTACACTATATAGACTCCTGCTATAATTATACCTCAAAAGCTGGTTGTGCATATTTTATGAAAAATGTAATTTGGTATATACATGTGTAAGTAGACAGGTGATTGGTCTATGATCTTATATATACTGGATATATAGCATCATACAGTCTCAATGAAAGCAGTCACACCGAATATATATGCAGTGCACGCAGAGAACTGTATAGTATATAAAAGGTTGAACTGACTGAGCAGGGACTTAGCAGATTATAGGATTTCCAAGATTAAATCACCTTATCCTATAATATATATGCAGTGTATGTAGATTGATGGATAGTTGGATACAATATACATACTAGTTTATAGTCTTAGAGTTAACATGCACATTTAGGAACACTCTAAATTAGGAACACTGGGATTTGCACTGAATACTGGACACAACTAAAAAAGTAGGGCCTGCATTTTCTCCAAGATTATTGTATAGCACTGGGACTGGGAGGTATGTGTAACATACAGTAGAAATACATCCAGGCTGAAGCATCATGTACATTTAACTTTGCAAACCCAAATGAACTTTATAATCTGGATTTATAGTAGCTGAGTGAAGCAGTAGGAAGTTATACCATAGTCAAAATAATCACAAATTGTCCATTATTGCGGATTCAAACCAGGTGAAGAAATTAGTATTTGCATTGCGTACCTTGAAGTTTGAGACCTAGGAAATATGTAGATATTAAAATTACATCATTATTGAGTGTTTATGATATTAGGCGTCTGGAAGCAGGAAACCAATAGCATTAACAACCCAGGGAGCAACACAAACCTTTCAAAAGGTCACAAATCAATCATCGAAAATGTGCGATATCTCTGTAAAATTTGGATGAACTGTCTGAATTTCTTATTTTTCCATACACTTTAGAGTCTGGTCTTTGTATCAAAGTGCTCTGTTTTTCAAGTTAATCCTTCAATTATATTGAATTTCGCAAAATAAATCTAACTCTGTTTTTGCATTTTGCTTTCAGGGTATATTATGTGGAATAGATATCTCCTGTGGATTGTATGAGATTTGATATGCCCTAGGAATACAGGTGTAGAAACAGGGATGAGTGTATCTAGATCTAGTTTATAATGCATAGTTCTGCTTAGCCAGTTTCACCAAGCGGGAATAGGATTATCTCCATGTTATGGATTAACTGTTGAAAGTGAATGTGTTGCAGGATAAATGTTTCTACTGCAGGGACAGCTATGGATAAAAGTAAGTTTTGTTTGTATTCTTGGGTTATCAAGTCACCCCCTCCTTCTTCCTCTTATTTCCTCTGCATATATAGACCCAAGTTTCAAAGCAAATGTCTCTTTAAATAGGTCTGTAGAGTCTTCAGGATAAATGAAAAGGTAAGTTCTGCCTTATATGATTCTTGCACCAAGTCTGCCCCCTCTCCTTCCTCTTTCTGTACAGTATAGGTCCATGTTTTTGCCAAATGTCTCTTTCAGTGTATAGGTCTGGAGACTCTTCAGGTAACTTTTAGTGAGGAGTCATATAATAACTCATATGTGAGTGTGTAGTTACCAGTTTCACCACCAGGTGGCTTGATCGGGTCAGATAGCATTGCAGGTATAATATTCCATTTAACTTAAATTACATCTGTTTTAGCGGTTCAATTTCATATAACCCTTATGTATCTAATAGTTATTAAAATTAAAATATGTCCAGTAAAGGAAAATGTTATCTGTCCAATACAAGAAAAGATATTTCAATTTTTGTGATTTTGTAACATGGGGTCTATGGGGAATCTCCCTGAACTAGAAGTCGCACTTTCAAAAATATTTAAATTTCAAAGTTGATTAATAATTTTCAAAACCACATATTTAGATGTACTTTTACATGTAGATTTCAAATATGACATCACTTTGAGGTGATATTTCAAATCATTATATCACTCTCATATTCCTCACTCTCTGATTGTTCCATGTCCTACACATGACTAAAACTAAAAATAATTATAGGATATCGTATGATTTTGAGGAATATCATTTTTATCTACAAGGTGATATTGATATCTGCACGAGAGAGCAAATCGAACAAGGGCATATACTGTATCAATATCACCGAGTAGATTAAAATGATATTCTGAAAAAAATCATAGGATGTTCTTATTATCCTACATTTACAAGGAGTGTACTAAATGTATAATATCATTGCAAAATGAATTTCATGCCAAATAGAGTCAATTTGGCGGGAAATAAACAACCGGAGTATATCGTCACAATATCCTCCGCATATTGGGTTTTCCGGAGTATATCGTCACAATATCCTCCGCCCGGAGTATATCATCACGATATCCTCCGGTTATTCCTTTTGCCAATAAATATCAAATTTATTTTTTGATGTTATTATACATTTAGTACACTAAGTGTAGGATAATGAACCAATATTTCACTCTATTGAGGTGAATACCTGTACATCTTTCACAAGTGATATTCCACGAACCCCGAAGGGCAAGTGGAATATCACCTTGTGAAAGTGCTACAGGTATTCACCGAAAATAGAGTGAAATATTTGTTTTATTATATCACTGTCTAGCTAAACATCCCTAATATTATTAAGTCATAGGTTAACATTGAAATACATATATTTCAAATTTGAAACTCGGTTCGTCTGCCATTTTGACTTACACTGAACTAAATTATTTACACTGAACGAAAACAAATTCTTTGAAAATTCCCGGGAGCGTGGGATATCGCTAGATATCTCACGGTTGTCTTATCTGATTAGCATTGCCATTGAATATCGCCAGATATCCTACGACATGTGACCCGGTTTTGACCAATCATACTGTCGCTAGCTAGATAGTGATATAATAATAAGCGATATTCAATGGAAGTCACGTGACCTCCTTTGAATATCAAATGATATTCACCAGTCGTAATTCTAATTATATTTTTATTTTACCCAGGAATACATTGTTATGATTAATTAGACATCAATAGCTTTTCATTCCATTATAATTAATGAATGAGGAATATAACAGTACATTAGATATGTGATGTCAGTATATTCACAATTTACATATCTCTGATGTCAGTATCTACTTTACTGTTTAGATTTCACTCATGTCTTATATCTACCTTACTATTTAGATTTATATTATGTCAGTATTCCTAAATTTCGGTATCTCTGATGTCAGTATCTGCTTTACTGTTAAGACTTATATAATGTCAATATTCCCTAACTTTAATGTCTCTGATGTCAGTATCTACTTTGCTGTTTCGATTTATGTGAGGTCATGATGGTCTTAGCTCTAAGCTCCAAGAATTAATTTGTTATATGTGTCACTATGTCATTGGGGCTAGGGCTGTATGACAGTGACTACTTCAATGGTTTTTAGGGATTGGTTTATTTTTTACATTTATGTTTACAGTAAACCTCCACAAATAAGTAAGAGGCAAAAAAAAAAATTTGTATAAATGTAGTAACAACTAATACTGGCTGGCCTTTACCAATGCAGGCCTGTCACCTGTCCCGCAATTTGCGTATTTGTCACGCATTTGCTGAAGAATTTGAAGTCACGCCAGTTATTATTGCGTGACAGAAAATGTCACGCAAATACGCATTTTACCTGGTAATTGTCAAGCAAAAATATTTCTGTATATTTATAAAAAAGATCGTCTACACAGCAAAAATACGAACGCCGGAAAAAAAGTACGCATTTCGTTTGGACTTTTCACGCGAATTACGTAAATGTCACGCATTCCGTTCGAAATTTTTCGTACCTACTCCCCCCCCCCCCATTGATGGATGTTTGAAACGCGAGCGTAGCGATCGCGAAAAATTTAAGGTGTTCAAAATTTGGCAAGATGTAATAAAATTTAAACCAAGCTGTTCAAAATTTGGATCAAGGTGTTCAGATTTGGACCAAGGTGTCCACATTTTGAGGGGAGGTGTTCAACATTTCCAAGTCACTCATGTTAGGTGTTCCCAAGTTGACAGGCCTGCCAATGTATCATGGGGTGTCATCCAATGAATGATGATGACTGGACTTTCTCAATGAGATATGATCTTTCATTGAAATGATGTTATGGCTCACCCCACTGAACCCTTGCCTTGTCAAGCTAGACTGAGATATGATAGGTTTAACCTACTGGTCTATTGTATATGAACCTTATCTGATCATAAAAGCTTGTGCATCTTAATGAGAAAAATTGTCATACCAGTTAGGAGTGGGTCTTAACTATTTTCTAATTAGGCTTTAAGTTTATTTGAGGATAAATATTTGTTAGTACAGGTTTTATTGAGTATAAAGTTTTTTGGCAATCATTTTGAAAGAGACATTCCTTAGTCATTTTAATTGAATTTGAACATGATTTCTTACCCTGCGTGCAGAGTCTAGTTAAACTACACTCTGCCTAGTAGAGACCATATTACAGTTTAGTAGCCCCGCCCCTACGACGGGTACCGGTGACAGTTTGGGTAATAAATCACTTTTGACCCACGCGCTGACCTTTCTTCGATCAATCAGCGAGCTTGAAGAAACATACGCCAAATGCGTTCTAATTAAATATGAGCATGTCATTGGTCAATTCCGGGCTCAACGATGACGTCAGAAGGAATGACCATATATAGAACGTCGGTCAAATTTGGCCGACGAACACTGATTGGCGCGGTGAGTTCACAGGTTTATTTTAGTTTGAAAGAGTGAAGACGAAGCTCTCTTTTAAGAAGTGAAGTCAAACGAATGCAAAGGGTAATGATTTCTGCAACTTAAATCTTTTATAGCTTCCATATTTAATCAGATGATGAGTATTATTATCTAATTTTCATTACAATTGCCAAATGAAATGGGTAATATTTTTCAAACTTTTATGTTGATATCTACAAATTAATACAGAATACATAGTCCAAAATCAAAAATATATTTTAAATTATGTTATGATATTTACCTCAAAAATTTTTCATTTTTTCTAAAGTGTAGAACTGCCTTAAGGCCCATCATTCATTCATTTTATTTTGTTGGTGCTAAATCAAACCATATGTAAGGATGCCTAAAGGATATGAGATCTTGCAACAATTAGGTTGGATGAAGGATAAAGAGTTTAGGAGTAATTGATAAAAGGTAAAAGGCTGAATGATTTTATATCATTGCAGTATGAGGTCTGCGCCTGTTGGCTACATCTATCTATTTTACAGCTTGTATTTCTTGAAATTAGGAACTGATGGGGCTTGCAAAAAGCCATTTCTCATTGAGTCAGATTTGCACTCAAATCTAAACTATATAAAAATATATGGCAATGTATGCCATTAAAATGCAGTTAAATCTGCCATTGAATTTAAAACAGATGATTCAATCAATATCAATATTTTCAAAATTAATTACATAACTGTGATTTCAAATTCCCATTGTAGGATCCCCGCCCTTTACTACATGTATGTCTTGGAGGGCTAGCATTAGATGAGGCACTGTTAAATCAGAACACCCTGCATCCTTCATTCAAAGGACTTCATTTATTACTCAATTTATGGAAAGAAGTGAAATACCCTTGGACCAAGGATGCATCAGAATAGAAAATTTGGAGGTTTTGGAAATAAAGTCAAGTTATGTTTTGAGAATCAGCATAAAATAAGCAAAAATGCCATATTCCAATGTTTACTATTCTGTCAAGGTTAAATCATATTCCAATGTTTAACCAACAAACTATTTTGTCAAAGTTAAATCATATTCCAATGTTTAACAAACAAACTATTTTATCAAAGTTAAATCATTTTCCAATATTTAACAATTATTTTGTCAAAGTTAAATCATATTCCAATGTTTAACAAACAAACTATTTTGTCAAAGTTAAATCAATCACAAAAAATGTTATTCATCTTTGAACGCATTTATTTTCTGATTGCAAAATAAATACCAGATATTCTGCATGCACATGTGAGATGCTCTGAATTATGATTGTCTGATGTATACCAACATCCAACCTTAAAGCATGCCATATATGGCAGTACCAATATTGCATGCAAATCAGCTAAGAATGTTGCATTATGACTAATGAGTGGTGAGAGATACAATTATGACTCTAGAGGTAAGATAGGTATGACGACCTTAAAAACCACAGTTATTAAGTAGCTGGCTGCCAAACCTGACTCTGTGATTCTTGGGAAAAATAGATACATATAAGTATGAATATAGGAGGAATGTGATGATAATGGGGAGGGATACAGTTATTATAGAGAGGAGCATGATGATAGCAAGGAGGAAAACATTG